TCTTTATGTTAGTGGTTTCTTTAGACAATAATTTTTTTTTTTTCTTCGGCGTGGTATGTCTAAACAGAGAACCGTCTTAAGAGTAGCTTGATGCAGATCTTTGTATCCTAAAATAAAGGTTATCTTATTTTCAGTGTGATTACTTAAATTCAGTATTACTACTCCAATTCTGGTGTAATGAACGGATTTATTAGTTTATACTAACTTACCAGGGCAGGGAACGCTTCTGTCATGCCCAGTTTCTAGTAAACAATCAACCAAAAAGGATGGAGTAGTCAGGCTTCTGCAGGAACTGGCAGGAAAGCGTATGGTTGTGGGGGAAACTCAGCTGAGACCGTCACACCAGAGGCACTGCCGCTAAGTAGCCTGGCTCACTTCCTACCAAGGGGCTTGCGGATGTTTTCGAAAAATGTCTTTTTTTTTTTTTTTTTCTTTTAAAGATGGATTTGCAACTCTGCAACCTGATGTATTGCTGGGGAGAAGCTCCATCACTTCTCTCACTTCAGGGTTAATAAGCACCACCCTGTGCAAAAAGCAATGCTGGATTTATTTTCTATGCCGTGCTGCCGTGGCAATGGGTGTGCAGGACGGAGGCGCGCAGGCTTCAGAAGCCTCTGACAACATTGGCCAGAATATCAGTGTTCCCGAGGCGGCTGCACTCTGCGTTTTGTTTGTTTTTCTGATAAAACTTGGCTTTTGTGTGTTGTTTTTTTTCTCTTGGTGCTTGGCTGTTTTTTGTTGGGGTTTTTGTTCTTCACCCTTGATGTTTGGGTAGTTTTCTTGTGTCCTTTTTTTTGGCAATGGGCTGTCTTTTTTTTTTTTTTCCCCTTGGCATTTGTGTGTCTTTTTTCACTTGACACTAAAATATAGAGGTTCAACAGGTGCTATAGCAAAAGACACTCAGGCTAAAGCAAACTTTTTCTGCTGTTTATCAGTGAGCCACCTCTATGAACTCGGCTCTTGTTGGTCTGGTATTTTCTGCTTAATATTAATTTTCGTTACGGAGGGGGAAAAAATTTCTTATTGGAGCTTTTTAATTTCTTATTGTTGCGGAATTTTCAATACAAAAAGCCTGTTTCATCAGAGTAAAGGAGAGATTAAAAGGCCCTTTGAAGTTAAACTGGTTTGAGTTTTTTCTTTGTTAGAGCCTGGGTTCAGTTTGGAATTATTTTAGGGGAGAAACAACTGTGTAAATGGATATCGAAGGGTCACAACGGGGGATTAGTCGAGGCAGTGAAACTGGCCTTACTTCATTTATACTCCTAACATTTCTCTGCGGAGGTCTACGTGGTTATTGTGTGCTCAGTATACCAGATAATAACTTTCACAATTGAATTTGCCGATTTCTCAATATGAACCTTTTGCAACATAGAAGTCGTCTTGCATCTTATCAGCCTTGACTAACACTTCTGACATAATTCAGGAATTTTATTCCCTGTTACAAAGTTATCTTGCAGCATTTTCCAGGCTTGGTTTGGTGGAGCTATGACTTCCTATCTGGCTATTCTGATGTCCTAGCTCCATTTTCCCTGTCTCCCCAGGCACTTCTCTGTGGCAACAGCTTTCGTGCCAGACCTTTGCTGACATCCTTTTCCCCATCTCTCTATTTATTGACTGCTGTGTCACACTAACACCCAGCTCCTGGTGTGCAGCGCTGCAGCTCTCTGCTGTTCTGGGAGTGATTTCTGCTCTTGGGTCTGGTGGCTTAGCCCTGGGAGGATGAACCCCAGCAAATGGATGGGTTTTGGTAGAATACAAAGATCGGTCTTCCCCCCCCCCTCTCCTGTTGGCGTGAGCTGGAGTAGGAAAGGAAAGGCTTCCAGACCTTGCTACAGCTGTGGTGGTCTTTGTCCACCACAACTTCTCCATGAGACCACTGGCCTTCAGCTGGACCTGGAACACCTCACAGCGCTTTGAGTTGTGCAAGAGGCCAAGACCTGGGCAGTCCTCCACTGGTGGTCCTGAGCTCCACATCGTGTGTGGTGGTCCTCAGCATGGCAAAGGCTCTGGGCCCAAGTGACCAGCCCCCTCATATCTGATCTGGGCTTGAACTGCAGAGAGAAGCAGAGCAAAAAATCAGTTCTAGGGACGTCCTAGCACAGCTGAATGACAAAGCCCCACCACACGCCTCCCTCCTTGACAATAGGAGATGAAGCAGCAGACAGTGGAGGCGGTAGCTGCCTGATCTTGTTTTAGTGAACTGCTTGAAGATAAAATGGTTCTCGTGCAGTCTGCCGCAGAAGTCACCTCTCAATTTGTAGCTCAGCAACAAGTGGTTTCTCGTTCTACACCCAGGGAAAAATGATGCAGCCACCAGAGTTGCAGTCTCAAGTGCATTTTTATGGGCTAAGCCTAGGATACGTGAAGCACCTCCTGGGAAATGCTGAGGGTCATGAAATCTCACCAAAGTGAGCAAGAGCTGAGGGTGTTCAGCATATCACAGGACTCAACCCAGAGGCTCTGACTTAAACTATTTGCGGGAAATAGCGTTGAGTATTTGAATGAGAGGTTGAAGTGTGATGCAGTGTAGGGTTTGACTCTGAAGACAACGGAAAGGCCTTTGGATGGCACGCTAACAAAACATCAGATAAACATTTGAAGGATAACATTTTAAAGTTTTTTTACTTAAATAGTAAGTTAATAATTAGTTATGTCACAGTTAATACTTTACTAGTTCTGTTAGTTGTTACTGGTAATTAAGCCTCAGTTTGGTGTCTTGGTTGAGCTTTTGCCATTTTAATATTCTGTTTCTGGGATTTTTTGTATATCTGCAAAGAGGGAGGTTGTGCGCTAATGGCATTCACAACTTGTAGAAAAGGAATATGATTTAAACAGTATGAGCTTTCTGTTACTTAAAAGGAAAAGTTTCTGTGATATAGGTAGCTGTAATATAATGAGACTTCCCCATGCTTTTAAGTTTACCTTTCCAGCTGCAATCCCAAATTCTTACTGAACACACAGGGGTATAAAACAAGCAGTGAATCATGTCTGCCATTTTTCTGTATCTCATTCACAAATGCCTCCACAATAGTAGCTAAAATATTTTTAACTCCGCACTTTAAGCAATTAGGTATTAGCTGCCATGTCTTTAAATGAAATGTGGCAAATTGTATGAAATTTTTGACAGCTGATCAAGTCGTGTTTTGACTGTGGCAACAGCTTCAAATTGCAGCTTGACATTTGCTTATATTTTACTAGTTCGCACAGTAATGTCACAAATACCTCCTATTTGATCTTCCTTATTAAAATCAGCTGAAGCTTTATTTTTAGAGCTTATTTCAGGATTGTTAATGTAACAGTTAATTCTCCTACATTATTGCCCCTCTGTGATTATTTCACAGCACCAACACAATACACACGCTACACACAAAAGATCAAAATGATTCCAGCTTGTTTGAGAGATTCAAAAGGGCCTGTGATGCTCTAGACACAAGAGCAGTCATTTAACAGAACAGAGTCGCAACTGCATATACATCAAGGTAGATCAAAGGCAGCTGGGAGATTGCACATTTACATAGGGACGTGGATGATGCTATGGGAACCCAGTAGCTGGGCTGGAGGAGTACACTGGCAGGAAGGGAATAAGGAAGTTCAGTGAGCATCAGTGGGGGGTGCTTTTATTTTTGTTTGGATTTTTTCTTCACTTTCTTTGCATTATCTGAAAGGCTGCAAAAGATAGGCAGAGCTCTGATCCTTTGTACCCTTAATTCACTACTGGTGTAAATCGGCGCTGTTACCAAGGAATGACTCCAGTTCACGCTGCCTGAACATCTGGACCAGTGTCCCTGCTGCATGTTAATTTTTCCACCTTTTAGAAGAAATAAAGGTGAAGAAACCCTTGATAAAATAGTTATTTTCTTTAAAAAAAAATAGTTACAGAAGTTACTGATTTTTTTAAATGACCGCACAGTTTTCTAAAAAAAAAAAAAAAGTCGACTTCCATTTTTTTTTAAATTTTGTGACATTGTGCTGATTATTTGAAATATTTCTCTTTTGCAGGACTGAAACTACGAAGGGAGTGGTAACTGCTATAAAATCCAAAGGTAAGAAACAGATGTTATGCTATTTAAAAATATGTCTTTCTAAGTGTGACTTACGTTGTAGAAAATCTCTACGGACAACACTATGGAACTGTATAAAATATGAGCATAAGGAGATGGGAAAGCTTGGAATTTCCCTGTCTTGACACAGGCCAGCAAATAGTTGGCGATGACAAATTCTGAACCAGAGGGGACATCTTTTGTAGTGCATGTGGTGTGGACAGAGTAGTGATCTTTGCCTCAGGGTTTAAATCAAACAGTAGCGAACAGCAGGTAGGAGAAAACCTAGAGAAGTAAAAACCTGACATTCACTTGATCTTCCCTTTGAAATGTTAGTTGCAGAAGCGGGTGGGCAGCAGCACCTGTGTTTACACAGTTACAACAGACAGGTGCACAGAGGTGCCTGCGCACCCATGTGTGTGCATCTGGAACAATTTTTTTCCCATGAGTAGGCAGGCTTTCTTTTAAATTGCTGTTTGGGCCCTGCATGTTTTCATTCTTCCCTGCATGTCATTTTTCTCTTTTGACCACTGGTGTCCGAAGTCACCTCAAATGGGGCCTCCCATAAGTGAAGTCAGCGCTGGGAGCAGGGAGCTTTTTGCCTGGAGCTCAGCGTTGGGAGCTACGCAGTCCTGAATGGTACAGAACATGTTTTAGTGCTGACTTAAGGATGCCATAAATGATGGCTGCTTTGGTGCCAGTTGAAAGGCTCGCTCACATCCCCAGCCTGTTTTCTTCTCTGCTGGGGAGTTTTGGTTTTTGGAGCCTTTGAGGGTGGGAGCGGGCGCGGAGTGCAGCCGGTGCCGCGCTGACATTCCCGGCCGACTGCAGACCTGCGGTCCAGGGGGCCGGGGATATAGGATGAAAGATGCAGCTGCTGCATTTGTAGATAAGATGTTTATATAGCTTGTGCCATCAAAAGCAGCAAACGCATTAACAGTGCCTCAGTCGAACATGAGCTGAAATTTCTGTATTGAGGTCTGACAGCCCTCCTCTCTTCAGCCACCTGAAACCCTGTTCCTGGGTCTTGCACCTCGTTTGGGGCGTCATGGCTGTTGCGCTGACATTGGGCAGACAGCAGTCCACAGAGGCAGCAACGGGCAGACAGTGCAGCTCTGTAGGTGGCTGGGCTTGACTTACGCTTCCCCAGGAGCCGTGCTTTTCACTTTTTTAAAATTTTTTTCCCCTGCAGGTCAAATGAATTTACATATTGAGGAATCTCTCGGGCATTCCGAATTTAAATGTGATTCTGTTTATGTCAGTGAGATTGTTTGCTAGTTTCCAGAGCTGTTCATTAAAGCCATGTAGTTCTTTGAAGTCAGTCTTGCATGTATTTGATCCTATCTCAAAGTGATGATTTTTCGTTTGTGATGTCATTGCCATTTTTATGCCAACTCTGATGTCATGGTCTGAGTGTGACTTCACTGCAGGGTCAAGTAGAGGGAGAAAGTGGAACATAATAGACAAAGCTGTAATTCAGGCAGCAGCTGGTCAAGTAAATTGCTTGGAGTGGAAATGTCCTCTCAAGCCACCTTGAGGAACAATGAAGTGGGACCTCTGAATGCGCCCACTGTTTGGCCACGGCAGCTCCGTTACTGGAGGCCACAGCGTGGTGACACCACGCTGTATCGGACACGCACACCTAGCTCTTGCAGTCTTCAAACCTCTGACCTTCTCCATAAGCCACATTGTGTGTCTAGGTGCCTCCGGAGAGCTGTAAAATGATCATGTCTGTGACATAAATACATAAACATGGAAAAGATTTTGTAATTTTCTTTTTTTTTCTCCTCCTCATCCTCAGCTTTCTGGGGCGAATCTGACGACAGCAGCTCTGAGATTGAGGCTGCTTTGCGCCCACAAACTCATGGCACAGAAGGAGATGAATTTGATGACTTCTATGACTGATTCCCCTGCTCACTTTTGGAAAGAAATAAACAGTATCATCTTACACGTATTGAGAGTGCTGCTGTCTAAAGTGCAGCTTGTCACTTTACAGTCAAAGAAAACTTGAATACAAAATAAATATTACTCGGTACTATACATGGCCTCCTTGTATGTGTGCTTTCTCTCAACTGCTAAGTATTTTCCTGATCTCATGGCAATCCTGCTCCATGAGACTGAGCCTTTTTGTGAGATGCGTGTGCAGTGCTCCTCTCAGAGCATTGTCACCTCGGAGGGTTGGGGCTATCTATAAAACCACCTCCCCCTCCTCAGGGAGGGAGCTGGGTCCTTCTGTGTAGTGCCCCGTCTCTGTAACCAGGGCTGGGAGCTGCTTGTCCGCAGTCCCCTGCTCACCGTGAGCATCTCCTGCCCAGAGCCAGCAGGGAAGGCGCAGGATGCAGCTGCGTGATGGACAGCCCTTCTGCGTGGCAGGGATGAAGAGGCTGTCACTGATGAGGGGTCGGTCAGTCACGATCCAGAATTGACAGCGGTATTTAATGGCCAAATCAGCCTTGTCTCTGTTGTGCCGCTTGCCCCGACCACCCTGGCCGCTGCTATTGTCACACTGCAAATGCAAAGACCGTCCTCTTCTGAGGATGTGTGTATTCTAATATTTTGACTACAGAGCTAGATGTGGTTTTGAAAAAAGAAAGCAAGCATTCTGGGTATGCATACATATGCCACTCGGGGCAGGCTGGCATGTTTGATCATCTTTTTCTGCAACAGATCAAGAAGAAGAAATGCATAAAATGTACATTTCTAATTCAGCACATTTTGGAATAGAGCAGCATTTACATGTGGCGAGCCCCAGTCATTTTCTGCTTTTACTTGCTTTGTAAAATCCATGCTGGCATTGCTGTATGGACATCACAGTAATTGGATGACTCTAGGAGCTTCATGCATTTTTAATTTTCTTCTTTTAATTCCTTTTATCTAAAATTAAGTTCATTAAATATGAGATTTTCTTTCGAAGGGAGAAACCAGGGGACATATTAAAAAAAAAAAATCTGTTCATAATTACGATAAGTTCAAAAGCGAAAAACAGCACCCCAATTAAACTCTGCTGCAAAGCAGTACTGCATCTTTGAATACAGGCACCAATCTTTGGGCCCAGTCCATCAAAAACAATTTTTAAATGGTAGCAATATTCAGTTTAATAAAAAGAGCGTGCTGTCTGAGGCAAGCTCGAGAATAAGAAATTGAGGCTCGCAGAAGGCTTGAAAATGAGAAGAAGCCCTTAGTACAGATGTCTGCTGGCTTGCTTCATCGCGTGGTTTTCAGTCTGACATTGGCAGTGGTGTAGTGTTGAGTGTTCCAGCAACTGGAAGATCAGCTGCACGAGGGATGGAGCTGGGTGAGTGTATGACCAGGGCTGATGTCATCTCAGACAGCTGGACCTGACTCAAGCTGGACTTCACTGAAGGCTTTAATGTCCTCCCCCACTGTGCCAGGGCTTCGGTGCCTGCTCGACCATACGCTATTTTGGATGAAGGCTCCTGTGATCCCTCCCTTCAGAGGCTGGCTAGCTGATACAGCCTTGGCCAGAAAAATGGCAAAAATCCCTCCCCCCTTCCCAATTTTTTACCGTGCCGGCTCCCCATGTCCAGTGGGACCACTGGTCCATGGAGAATCCCTCCTGCTGTGTGATGGGCGAGTTGGTCAAAAGATGGGAGGTGTGCAGAGGAGGAGAGAAGGCAACCCATGGGGACCATGGGAGGTCTCCTGCTTACCAAAGCAGCGATTCCCAGCTGCCAGGTGAACGTGTGGGCCATGCCAGGCTGCTGGAGAGGGTGGCACAGCTCCAAACGCTTCATTGCTATGGCCAACCTCAGTCAACACTTGGATATCAAAGCCTCAAGGAGGAGGAGGGGGGCGATCTGGGAAGTCGCAGGACTCTCCTGTAACTTGTAATATTTGAAAACAAATTCTGTGATGCACCGTCAGCATGACCAGAAAGGCTAGCACCCCATTGTGCTGCTGCTCTTGGTGGAACACCTGGTAGGTTCAGGGGCTCCTAGCAGCGGGCTGGAGGCTCATTGTCCTTTGTGTAGTGTAGGCTCCCAGGAGACCTATAGCCAAACCAAGGGCTGAACCCATCATCCAAGGGTTGGCGCCTGGACCATTGCTCCTTGCTGCTTTTTTCGGACCATCGCTCCTTGCTGCTTTTTTCTGACCATCCCTAAGCTGTGGTCATTCATTCCCGATGGTCCTAGCCATCTGCTAAATGTGAGCTCACCAGTGTGTCACACCACAGACAGACTATTGCTACGTGATTTTCCAGTGAATGTCAGACCAAGGTTCGTCTGGAAAAATTCTCTCTAGCAGCCTGCGCTGCTAAGTAACTGCATCAAATCCGCGGTGCCTTTGTAGTTTTAAGCTCTTCCTGAGTGATTCTGGGTTCTTGATGTCAGCCCACTTTATATCTCCTTGCATGATACAAGGCGCTCATCACCAGTCGTTGGTGCTTTCCATTCCCTCAGTCCAGCTCAGCCATAAGACACGCAACTCCTGACAGATGACAGATGGCTTTGGGAGCTTCTGCTAAGGCAATATCTCTCTTTCGGTGTTTAAGCGATAGCCGAGTTCCTTCAGAGCATTATTTATTATACTCTTATTGTGCACAGACTCATTAGATGCAAAACACTCTGCCAGTCAACTTTACTCTGCTCCTTCACAGCTGTCATACTGGCAGCCTGAAGATGATGACAGATGATGGTGATGGACAGGGGGACTGTAATCAATACAGCCCTAACCGATTTAAATCAGCCTGCCACTCATCTATGGAAAATACTGTAACGAAAAGTCTTCCCGTATTCTCGCTGTGTATGTGCAATGACTTGCTGCTACGTTCTTTTTTCGCATGTCAGATGCACGGAGTTGTGAGGCGAAACTTCAGCTCGTGCCCCTATACGTCTGCTCACAAAAACAAGTTAGCACATAGGGCCTGACCAAACAAATGCTGGGTGAGTGCCGTTATCTGGCGAGCTGAAATGGAATCTGTGTGGGCACACAGCCCTGACTCCGAGACCCTGCAGGGAGAAGCGCGACAGGCGCAGGGAGTGGCTGTACTCGGGAGAGCTCAGGGAGCGCAGAAGCGCCGCTGCCTTCGGCCGCTGATGGGGAAGCCGATGGAGCTGGCTGTCACTTCCAGGAGAGAAGGTTGCGCCGGAAGGGGGAAGGTGATGGAGCTGGCTGTCACTTCCAGGAGAGAAGGTTGCGCCGGAAGGAGCTCATCCTCATCCCCCCTCCAAATCGGACGTCAGGCAGAAACTGTTTCTGATGTTTGTCAACGTGATCATTTCTCTCCAGTGGCAGACTTCTGCTACTGCTTCCTGCACCAAAGACTCCGTATTTTTCAGTTTGCTGGTGCACACCTGGCACAACAGCAGCCCTCCTGCTGAGCTGCCTCTGCCTTGCCTACTTTGTTCTTAAAAGGCTCTGCTTTCATCTGGCAAGTGCCAGCTGCACTCCTTCACTGAGGATGCCAGGTCATAAGTTCCTGCACATGAGTTTTGCTTTAGGATATTTGTAAGGGTTTGGGTTTTGTTTTGGGTTTTTTTTAGCAATATGTAGATCGACTTTTCAAGGAAATGTTTGTTGCAGTATTAATTTTTTCAGCGCTTATTTATGCAAGTAATTATAAGATAAGATGATCATATTTCATTCGCATTTGCTAGTGCCGCTGTCTTCTGTTTTCTTTAGGATTATCAGAAAAACAAAACCAACTGATTGCCCATCAATACAAACACAACATTAATACTAAGCTGTCATACTCTATACTAAATTCCAGGAGGAGAAGCACTACAATAGGAAACTTCAATCAGGGTACATCTTGTAAGGAACAGATAAAGGACAATCTTTAGCTGATACCGCAGATGTGGTGCCAATGCAAAGTTGCTGGGGAAATTTATTCAAGTCACAGATTTTATTAAGAGGAGTGACAACAGAAAATGGCTTAACAACAGCTAAGTGAGGCTAAGAATAATGAGAAATACAATATTGGGTTAATTTGTCCTACAGCAAATTAGCAAGGTAGCAAGGTTCCTCTCCGCTCCCCAAATCAGCAGCGTTGATTCAATAAGCACTGCTGAGATTCTGTTATTTTTGTTAATGATTCCCAGGCTGCTTTTTCATGTCCTCGCCCCCGTCACTGCCCTCCTAATGAAGTTGGCGTATAGCGACAGGACACAGCAGAGCACAGAATCTTCCACGTGTTAATCCCATTTAATGCTTGAAGATTTAATTCCATTTCAACATCGTTAAATGGCTAACTTGGTAGTGTTTGCTTACGCAATGGGCAAAACGATGGGATGGGGTTTCTTTACGCTGCCTCTCGCGACCGCCATGAATTGCACCAAGTGATTTTACACTCGCCGCTTCTGGGCGCAGCTTCTGCTGCTCTTCCGCCCTCCCGACAGCCCCTCGACCGCTGCCAACTGCCCCCCTCTCCCCTTGCGAAGGGGCAAGGGCCTCTTCCAGAGCCTCGCCCTCCCGGCTGACGAGGCAGGCTCACTGCAGCCTGGCAGCATCAGCTGCCACAGAGCAGCCATGCCCTGAATCACTTTTGTCACCTGTCTTCTGCCTAAACCACCCCACAGGCGCGGGAAACCGTCCCGCAAGCTACGTGGGGTTTGTTGGTGTTTTTTTTTTAACAAGGTTTTTCTGTCAGCCGACGGCAAGTTTTCGCACAGCGCCCGATCTGCGAGCAAGGCCGGCAGGCAGCGCTGCCTTAGGCGTCAGCCTGGCCTCAGGCTTGTCCCTTCCGCCCGCCCTCAGGCTGTCACCTCTGCGCCTCAGGAGCCCACCCCCCTCTACAAACTCAGGGGCGCGGGGAGG